GGTTATTTCAAAGCAGGAGAGATGAAAAATGAGCAATGCCCTTTCCGAACTCCAACCATGGGCCTCTTGAATACACACCAGGCATGCTGATCACTACACCACAAAGGCATGCTAAGAAGGCGGGAGAACTACCTTGCATAAAGGCATTCATTCAAATTCAGAAACTTCTATTTGATTGTACTAATAGTACTAAGGGTTTTCAAAACCCAATCTCTGAATACTAAAATTTGGAGACTTGAGTATCTATGAATTTCATTATTGTTTATTATACATATGGTATGAGGAATTCAGGCTCCTAAATAAAAATATTGTCATATTTTGGTTATTCTGACTAATAGTATGGTATTTTTAAGTATTTTTTATGTTACTGCAGTTTGACCATAGCACAATCTCAGAGGTCATTTGCACATTTACTGCTTGAGTGTGCTATAAAAAGGGATTTAAAAGTGTATGATTAGAAATTCTTCATAAAAGTTCTTTTTTATGGATTTGGATTTTTAATTAAATAAATTGGTTTCTTCTAAGTTTAAACTTAGATTTGTTGCATTATTAGCTTGAACTTGCAAAATATATACAATATAAAACTTTATCTTAGAAAAGTTTCGAAGGAAGGACACAAAACTAGAAATACATTAAATGGTCAAAATGAATGCTTTCAACAACTCAGGCAGACTTGATTTTCACACAAATTTGTTATACTATATATATATTTATACACACTACCCTCCAAAACTTAAGGAACAATGTGCTTTTGGTGTCTAATTTGAGAATGAAACAAAATAGAAACAAGAAATTTAGTTTACATGTGCACTAAACTGTTCTTTAATGAATGTTATGTACAGTGTTTCTTGAGATCACCACAAACATGAATTGCAACAAAAATACTGTTTTGTTGAATTTCTGTTAGAGAAATTCAGTCTTGGAGAAACAGTATAGCACAGTTTTTCAAGGGAATATGTGGTGGTAACATTACAAAAAATGGGTTCTAATAAGGAATGTGTTCATTCCTAGCTGCAATACATTGGCAGCAGTGATATTCCATGCTGCGCATTGTCAGTGAGTGAAATGGGAAGCAACGACCGGACACGAAGTAATCCATGGTCAAGTCCATCTAACACCTTGGAGGAGGATTGAAAGCAGCAACCTGTCTCCTAAGGTAGTACCTAAGGTGCTCTATTGGATTTAGGTCTGGGGACTGAGCTGGACATTCCACCCCCTCCATACCATGATTCTCAAGATGTTCTTCATCAACCTGAACTTGATGCAGCTGTGCATTGTTGTCCATCAGAATAAACCCAGAACCAATAGCAGTGACATATGGGTGGATATATTGATCAAGGATCTTGTCTCAATATCTCACACCGTTCCTGCAAGTTCCTTCATGGGATACATGCAGGTCAGTGTGACCACCGAGAGAGATCCCAGCTCAAAGCTCAAACCATTATCCCGCCACCTCTGTATCATTTCACAATGTGGGATTGGTTGTATCTGGTGCGTTGTTCTCTCCAGTTCAGCTGACGACCTGAATTACTCTCCCATGTGAACCTGGACTCTTCTGTGAAGAGAACAGAAGCCCATTGTTGAGTGGTCCAGGAGACGTGTTCTCCTGCCCAACATAAACAGGCAGCTCTGTGTCCTTTGTGCAAGTGAACATAAACAATTGGTCGTCTAACATACAGGCCTGTATTGTGCAGGCATCTGCACACCATAGTAGCTGAGATTCTTGTTCCTGTGACTACTAAATGATCTACCATAAGCTCGGGCACTGTAATGTTGCATCTCCTTGGGCTGAAAGAGATAAATAATAGTGTCCCACAGATGTTGTAGCTCTAGGTCTGCCTGAAACATGTCTTCTAGACACAGAATCCTCAGATTCAAACTGATTCCATCGTCGCTGGACTACACTGCAAGAGACATTGAGACATCTAGGAGCATCAGCTTGTGACATCTCCATTTCCATCCATCCGATCGCCTTCTGCCTCAATGAATCAGGCAAAGACTTCTCCTGGTCATTGATAGACTCTCCTGGATATTGTAAAAGAAATTGCTAATACAGTCAAAAGTCTTTAATCCGGACTCGTCGGGACTTCGGCAATTCCGGATTATAGATCATCAGTTTAAATCTGGTAAGATGGCATGCAGAAATTACAAAATTAAAAAATATGAAATCCGTTAATTTATGAAATAAAGAACAATTATGATCTAAAGGGTATCAAAATTTACAAAAAAAAAGCTTAATATTTATTTGTTTACTTTATTAAACATTTCTTTCAACGCGCGCATGCGTAAAGCATACATTACGCATAGTCGAAATTAGAAAATTGCAACCAGAAAACTACTTGATGTGTATTCATGATATTTATAATAACGAGGAATTTGATTTAAATCATATCAAAGACGGAGTACACCGAGATGAAATACTACATTTAGTAAGGAATTATAAGCCAAATAAAATAAAAACATCTGCCCTGAAGATAAGGATAGTGCTGACAGATCAATTTCCAATTCATTGCGCGCAGCGCGACGTCCCCCCCCCGGCAGCGTGAAATTGATAAACAGATTTCGGATGGTTTAGAGAAACAAAGGATATGCCTTTATCCATTTTTTTGCAGCAATTCCACTTTTTTTTATGGACATCGAAACATACTTTCGTTTTGTAGATCCTTTACATATTAGTAAATATATATCGGAAATTCTATTTGACATAATCGAAAGTTCAAGCTTACTTTTATAAAATTGCTCTAACAGTCTGCAAAAAATAATAAGCAGGATCCATTTCGAAGATTCAGGAACAACGCAATCTGCAACATTAACTGAATTAGATAATTTTAACTTAGCTTATACCGTCCGTTATACATTAAACGCACATGCGTAAAAGTATTATGCGCATGCGTAAATGCCTATGTGCATGCGTGAACGCGTTATGCATTGACGCGGGCGCAGATAGTTTGTAGCTTTGAGCTATAGATCATTCCGGATTATGGGTGTCTGGATTAACGACTTTTGACTGCACCAGTTAAATATCAACTCTCATGTACAAAACTTCCAAGTTTTGCATTTTTTCTCCAACTCTTACATAAGTATTCAGTTCTGTAAAATAAAAGTGCTAACTATTGTTTTTGCATATATTTCTTAAACTTTGTTACTAGCATGCATATAAATTGTGAATTTTAATGTTAGTGACATTTTTAAAATGATGAGCTTTGAAAAACATACTGTTCCTTAACGTTTGGAGGGCAATGTATGTATATATATTCCAATATATATATTTATATATATTTTCCAATGGTGGGCCATCTGTTGACTTTGGCTTGACCATAACTAAGGCATAATAAGTGGTGGTCACTTTATTATGGAAGCACCTAATAGGCGGGCTACCTTTGCCTCTTACGAAGAAACAGATGGATACAGGCTCTTTGGTATCGCAGTCAGCTCCTCCAACCACTATACCCTCTGGGTGGTGATTTATTATTATTATTATTATTTAGGAATGATGTATAATATTGATATAATAATATTATTATTTCATAATAATATTTATATAATATTATTTAGTGATACTTTTGCAAATAATTTTTATGCCTTATTTTTTATATTTTACTGCCGCCCAGATAGTATATTAGGGCAACCACTTGCGATACTGAAGGGCCTGGATTCAAATCCCAGAGAAGGCATAGATGTAAATTGCCTGTCTCCTCATAGGAGGTAATGGTAGTCGCCTATTAGGTGCCTGCATAATAAAATGACCATCACTTCTGGCCTTTGTAGCAGTAGCAAATGCCAAAAATGGCTAGTCACGTGCTATATTAAAAAAAGTATATTTTCATACTACAGGTTGGATATGTATTCGTTTTAAAGGTTTTTAGTTCTTCAATATTACCACCAGTTATTGCAGGCTTATAGTGAGTAATTTGATACAGGCTTAGAATTTCTTCATTTCTATTGTATTTGTTATATGTTATCAAAAGATAATAATTAAATAAGAATTGGTGGGAAACTAGCTAACAGGAATAACACAAATTAAAACTGAAACAAAAACAAAACAATAAAATAATGTGAAAATATAATAATGTAATGTATAGTTGAAATTCTTTGGTACTTTTCAAGGAGCAGCTGAACTATTTTCAATTGGCTTTCTGCCTTGAATGATCTGATAATTACAACATGAAAAGATGATTTATTGGTAGTGTAAGGGCAATAAAATAATAAAACAACATTATTGATACCTGTAAATGACATGAGCACCACATGAAGTTTATGATGTTATGAGCTGTGCTGACAGAAAATGATAATATGAGTGTGACCATGTTAGGAATTTGATGAATCATTTAATGGGTAGCACTATAAATGGGAAATCAAGTCTGTATATGATAAATTATAAATGATATAGTATTATTCAGAAATGATTTCATTCTCACCGATTTTATTTTCAGAATCATGATTACTTTTTCTAATTAGTATATTTTTAATGCCTTCTATGTTATTGCTATGTCTTCCTACACTGTAGTGAATAATCTTATGCTAAAAACTAGTGCTAGAAATAATAAAAAATAAAAAATTATTTTATGCTTGACTCTAACTGTATAATACTAAACTATATAACTTATAAAAAATGCCATAGTAAGGTAAGCCCAAGCCTTATTTTTTTTAATAAATTTAATTTGAGGCTGGAAATAAGTCTGAGAAAAATAAATATATTCAAGATAAGGTGGTTTGAAAGTTGCAGCTCTGACAGACAAATTCTGGACATTGTTCTTAAAAAAAGGACTGAAAATCAGAGATGTGAAATTCACTGTTGTCTTGATAAAGAAATTATCAAAGTCTCTGAGATTGCATTACAGTTGTTAAGCATTTTTCAAAACCAGTGAGTGTCCATTATAAAATATTTCAGGAATTTTTTTATTTCAAGAATTTGAAATTTCTGATCTTGACAAATGTATATATGGAATCTTTTATTGAAATTCAGTGTATGTCTATAGTAAAAATTTCTTCTATTTCAGAAATCATATTGGTATTCTCTTGAAGGACATAGCAAACCTATCACATCCTGTTCCACCAATGAGAATGGTGAATTGCTTTCTTGTTCCTTGGATGGCAGTGTTAGTATGTGGAAGATCCCAGTAAATGAACCAACTACTAAATTCAGCCATACATTTACTGTCAATGGCTTGATATTCTCAACATCATCTAATTTAGCTTTAAGCGCCGATTTACATGGAAGTGTAATTCTATGGAAAATAAAAGTTTCAGAAAAATTACCTTTGATTTATGCTGTGAAGAAAACAGTAAGGAAAAAATCTAATTCATTTTATTAGAAATTTATCAAATTTTAAATTGTTCTTAATCTGTATGGTATGCAATTTTGGTAGTTAAATTTGATTTTAGTAATTTTGCTTTGTTATCAAATTCAAGTTTTTTGCGAGTAAAATTTTTACTGAATATTGAAGTCTCTCTTAATTAATCTCTATAATTTGTAGATATGGATTTTGACTGTAGTTTATTATGTTATCAGTTTAAAAATCTGCTTTTAAACTAACCCTTTGCTTTATAACTATTTTTGTTATTTGTTCTCAGCCAGCCTGATTTTGATTCTGTCATTGCATTTTCCCAAACTGAGGTCAGTTGCATTAAACTCCATTTCACTGTTACTACCTTTTTACCTATATAAGTCTAATTTTATCTTGCATTTTTTGAATGATAAAACAATTCACTATAATATTTTATAAAAATGTGCACTAGTCAGAATCTGTGGCTCGACTTGTCAGTGGAACTTCGACTTGAGTACTGCTCTTCCTTCATTTGCATTTAACCATGGTTGTAAAAAACAGTCTGGCCGGAAATTCGTAAGCTGAAATTAGAAGGGATAGGAAAGTAGCTTTAACTAAAGATAACTGTTAAAAACTTAACAGCTATAAACCTTACAGGCTTTGTATAGTAATGCATTTTTTATTTCTATTTTCCAAGTCTTTTCTGTCCTTTCCATAATGCTTTAGAATGGAATTTTTCATAAATCCTTTTTTAATCCTTAAAGTAAGACTGTTTTTTGTAGATTTTATAATTATTTGGTCTTTTGAATTTATATTTTAATGCATCATTTTTCTTGTATTTTGAAAGTGAGTAATTTTAAAGCTGGATTTCAAATCCGTTTTTGCTCATCTTAGGTACCTAAGAATCTAACACTGTATAGTTTAAATTCTTTTATCAATCTTTCCTTTTTTTTAGTATGTGGAAGGCTCTATACAAGGCTTATCTTGGCTGAAAGAAAACCATTTTGTGTGTGCTGTGAGCCAGAGTGTTAATTCAGAAGATAAATACATGTTAGATGTCTTGAGTTTCAAGACACTAACTGTGGATGAACAAATTTTTTATGAAATTCGGTATGTTTTTAAATTTTTTCTAATTTAAAAAATATTGACTAGCATATTAACATTTTCAAAAGTTACCAAAGACTTAAAATAAATCAAGTTCACATTTTCTGCCAAGGTGAAATGCATTCCATGATTACATGTTTAATATAATTCTACCTTGAAGAAGTATTTTTCAGAAATTTTTTTTAATCCATATACCAAGCATTGAAGAAAAAATAATACTTGTCTATAAATTCTTAAATATGTGTTTCTTTAAGTCTATGTGTACATATAAAATAAAAAATTTTAAAAAAAACTTACCAAATTTTTATTAATTTGATCAATACAATCTGTCCTAAAAATAGGAAAAAGGTATAATCCACTGCTAATCTTTCTTACTTCGGTGGAATGGGAGAAATCATCTTGAGCATAGTCCTATGTTACATTTTTTACAGATAGTTGTTGGTTTTAGCTGGCATCTTATTTGTCTATTTTCTGTGTTTTTTACAGTAAAATGTTCATTTTGAAGCTTTAGAAAATCTTCATTAACCTGTTGAATATCCAGGTTTCTGCAAGATGGTTTTCTTGGAATAGAATAGAAAGTCCCAAATAGACCATGTGTCCAAAAATCAAGCAGGCTCAGACTGTCATCACTAAGTAACTGATTGAGCTTCCATGAAGCAACAAATGCTGTTTCAAATGCATTAACAAATAAATGCCTGTAACCTTTCTTTCCTTGAATTGAAGTAACATAAGCTGGTACAGGATTATCAAATAGGTCAACTCCGTTTTTATATTTATTGTAGGATGCAGTGCACATTGGTATCTTTACCTATTTTCTGCCACCCTGTACTCTTCTTTCTATGGTTGATACACTTTTTGTTTCTTTGAAATTGGACATTACTAAAGCAACATGACTATCAATGCATCGAATTGCTGCAACTTTGTTTTTTGAATTAAAACTGCTATCTGAAGAGGTGCATTACATTTTTGAGATTGTTTTAGAGGGTAACTGGGCTTCAGACATTCTGTATTCTCTAACACTAACTGTAGCAAAGAAGTTTTTATTTGCAAGAATGGATAATAATTCATTCAAAGTAAAGAAATTATCCATGTAAATCTTATGTATCTCAGGGTTTGTAATTATCGACAGCAAATTCTGAACATTTGTATCATTCATGGGAAGTAAAGAAATTATCCATATAAATCTTATGTATCCCAGGGTTTGTAATTATTGACAGCAAATTCTGGACATTTGTATGAGATAATGGCTCATTCACAATTTTCTTAGTTGGTTTCTTCTTTTTCATTTTTGGATTTTATTCTTCTTTAAAGTTCAAGCATGCAAAAATGAGAGAAATTTAGTCGACTTTGATAAATTTCAGAATACAAACTGAATCAATGTTTAACACGTTTACTTAACCTCCTCCCCCACATTTAACACACCTGTCTGTCACGTGATGTGCACTTGCCAGCTAGAATAAAGTGCCTGGGCTAGTAGAATAGCAATCTTTGGAATGTAACAGAGAAAGAAAGGATTATCTCTATTACAAACTGGTGGGGATTTGGTAGTAGTGCATTTTATTGTCGTCCTATTTTTAGAGCAGTTAAAAAAATGGAAGGAAAATTTACCTTTTAGGTAAAAATTTTTATGATGGTATAAAAACCCACTTTTATACCTACTGGTATAAAAGTGGGAAATATTATCTCTGTAAATTTATGTGCATGTTTTCCTTGGAGCTCAAAATTTTAATAAACTGGTATGATGAAAACTTAAGAAAACAATTTCCACAAAAATCCTCAATTAAAAAATTCTCTAAACTGTCTTTAATTTGAATTAAATTATTTCAAAGATTTTGTACAAAGACCATTTATGTGTGCTGTCCTACTTTTAGGACAGTAAGGAAATATGGTTTAAATAGCATCTGTTAATGTTTTGACAGAATACTTTTCAAAAGTTACTTTGTGTTGTTCACGTTTCATTAGCATGATTATAATGTAACATATTTGTACTATTAGATGAGGATTTCTGTTATCATCACTTGATTTTAATAAAAACATTTTAATTTCCAAATTAGCATTGAATGTGTATCTATTAATTCTGTGGAGCAGTTGTGTGTGTGATCCATATAGAATCCTGTTAGATACTCAGATGTAGATTTTGCTAACGATGTGGACACAAGACAAGAAAATAAACTTCTGGTTGCATTTTCAAAATTGTCCAGTAACTTGTTGTAGACGAGAGCAGTGAATCGCTTATACCTCTACCACTGAAGCTGAATATATTGCAGCTTCAACTGCAGTGAAAGAAGTATTTTGGTTGTGCCAACTGCTGCAAGATGTGGGTGAAAGTGAAATGTTTAAAGAGGGTATTGTCATTTTGGTTTACAGCCTACTATTAAGCTTATAGAGTTCCTCACTTTTATCCTGCTAAATGAAATGTCGAGGAACCCAGTGAACTATTAAGAGAATAATTATTGACAGCAAATTCTGGACATTTGTATGAGATAATGGCTCCTTCACAATTTTCTTAGTTGGTTTCTTCTTTTTCCTCTTTGGATTTTTATTCTTCTTCAAAATTCAAGCATGCAATAATGGGAGAAATTTAGTCGACTTTGTTAAATTTCGATACTTTGATAGTTGACCAAAGAACAGAAAGCGTAACCTCAAGAAGGGTTCATTACCCTTTATTCACTCAAAATAAGATTAACAGTTGGCCCCTTTCAGCAAAGCTTCCACTTGGGCTTAAACTCAAAAGTAAGAATTAAGAACTAATGACTAATTAAGAGATTTAGCCAAAGCTAGCAGAATTCTTAAGTAGTTGGCCCATAATATTAAACTAGCCAGCGAACTATCAAAAGACATGTAATACAGCCAAGCGTAACAACAGCTTAGAGAGACATAGCCCAAAGGCAAAGGCACGCTGCTCAAGAGTCCTAACTCTCTTGAAGTCAGTTGAACTTGACTTTAATACTGTTCTCTTCCTCATTTGCATTCAACGCTATTCTAAAAACTCATTCTGGTAGGGAGTTGTAAGTTGAAGTGAGATAAGATAGGAAAGATGCATTAAATTAAAATAATTGTTATAAAATATAAATATACCATACAAGCTGATCAAAAACCCTGTGTTTCACAAACACACAAAACATACTGATGTGGGTTGCCATTTTATTCATGAAAAATGTGAATATAAAGCTCTTATTATAAAGTATGACAAATCTGAAGAGCAGTTAGCAGATATCTTCACGAAAGCAAAATTTAAAAGGTTAAGAGGACTGCTCAACATAAAAGATAAATTTCTCATGTGAACATTTGATAGATTTGCATTAGTTAAGATTTTTTTATTTGAATTTCAGTTTTGCTTTTCATTCAATAATTAGTTCAGTTTTTCTTGCTTATGTCATTGATCATACTTTTGTCAGTTCTAGTGACAACATAATTGAACGGAGTGTTAAATCCGTAATTCAGTTGTTACAATTTCTTTGTGATTTTCGGCAACACTATGACATTTTCCTTTTTATATTCTATAAATGTGTTTCAGTGACATGTGTTGCCTGTGTTTTTGTTGTTACTTTTGTTCCGGTTTAAGCTTGAATAAGTTTATTTAAATGAATAATATTAACAATTTATATTTTTAAAGTTTCCTCAAACTAACAAATATGTTGCTTTCATCATAGTGTTATTTTTACAATATACTTTGTATAAAGCAACAACTTATAAGTAAATATATTTTTTTTTCTTTCAGAGTAGAAATGACGCACCATTTCCAAGATGAAATATCATGTGTTGATGCTTGTCCTAATTCTAAGATCATCGTTGTTGGATTGAAATCTGGGGAATGCACTGTTATATCGCCTGACTGTAAACGAAATTTGAAAGTGTATGTATAGCTTTTTATATTTAGTTTCAAGCAATAATTATTTTTAAAACTAACTGCATGGGGAATTATTTCTATCCTATTTGTATATATATGGCTTTTTACATTTAGTTTCAAGCAATAATTATTTCTAAAACTAACTGAGGTGAAAATTATTTCTATCCCATTTATATGTATGTAATTTATATGTCATACTTGTATTCTTAATACTTAGAGTATGAAATTCTAATTCTTTTGAAGGAATGTGGATATTGTTGTTTGAATTGCATGTGTTTAGATTATGTATATTAAATTATGTGAACAATGAGTAATTGAAATAATTGTTTCCTGTATGAACCCTTTTGAGTTGTTTTTAAAACTTGAAGCACCACTGTGAGTTCAACTTATCTAGAGTTTTTTTGTCATATACCGATATAGAGATTAGTAGACTCTACACTGAAAATTCCTATTTAAAAAAAACCTTCCATTTTCTTGTTTGAATACCTGAATGTCTGGATGTTGAATTTTATATATGTGTGAATGTTAAAAGTTTTAACTGTATTATTTGCACCTTGTTAACTCTAATTTATGAACACTACACATACAAAATGCTTAAGTGAAAAATCACTTAAAAGTGAAGGTGCAGGATAAAAAAATAAATGAAGCAGGTATCTCTAAATAAAGTAACATTCAACTGAGAGATATCAGTGTAAGGAAAATAAATTTCTGCAAGCAAACTCTTATTTCATAAAAATGCGATACACTGAAATATAAAGAGATAAAATATATAGAAAGAATATTTGCAAATGCGCTACTTCAAAATACCGAAAATAGTAAAATTTCTACGCATTCTGTACATTGAGTTTCTAGTGACTGACATCGGAAGAGGTGGGCGGCATAGGGATGAAATGAGAAGACCAAATCCATAAGATTATATTGTAAATTTTAGGTGTAGCTGACATTATCATTGATAACTTTGTTTGAACAAGTGTTTGTTTAGTTTGTAGAGGAATTCTTGGATGATTTCAGGTTTTAGATCTTTGTGCGGTCAGCCATGCATCTGTGATGAACCAGGGAGCTCATGTAATTTTATGTAAAACCTTGTTTTGAAAAACTTGAAGGTTATGCAAATTACTAGATGTTGCTGAGATCCATGCTAGAAAAGCATCATTTAAGATAGGTATTATTATGATGATGTAAATTCTCCTTTTTATAGAAAGATACAAAAGAAAAAATAATCTGTTCTGTTTTCCAATAACATTGGGAGATATGCATTTTCTACGTGAGCTTGTTGTTAAAGTGAATTCTAAAATAATTCACTTTGGTGATCATTGGAATTGGAATTTTTTTCACCAAAGATGTGAACGCCCTCACTTATAACAATTTGCTTGTGCCATTGGATGATTAAGAGCTTTCATTTTGTAGCATTCATTAAGTCTTCCTTTTTAGCGTTCATTATGTCCTCCTTTTTGAGTACCATCACTCAGTCTCCAGCCTTCTGTCTTGGACCCTAACTATAGCATAATCTGGGTGTAATGATTTCAAGATGACTTTAGTGTCATTCATGTAGAAAACAATGAGACAAAGAATGGCATCATTGAACAGGGGGTAATGTTTGACATATGAAATGTGCCCAACAATTGACTCTTGAGGAACACCAGCAGTGGTATTCTTAAATGTAAAATATGACCTGCCCTGTCTGTTGCTAAGGACATGTTGTTAAGAAATGAATGAATCATGAGAATTGCTTCTCTGTTACACTGGATCAATTGATGAAATAGTCAAACTATTCACTGCATCTAATTTAGAAACATTATGGCCTGCTGATATGTATAGCTGAGCTCATAAACTCCACTACACTAAATACATCTTGGTAAAATCCTTTAAGGAAGAATTTTTCATAAGAATTCAGTGATGCTATAAAATCATATTAGCCAATGCCTGACAGTCTAGTTCTATAAATGCAGCATTTGTACATTTTGTGGAATATTTTTTAATTTTCAAATTGTTTCTTGAGTGCTTTTCTTCTGATCTCTGTTTATTGGAAACATATCTGATTCACGTGCATTTCTGCTTTGACTATAACTGCTCATTCCAGTTTAGTTTAATTGGAATATTAAATTAAGACCGGCCCCTCAGATTACAGTGAAATTTGAATATAACACATTGGACTTTGAGGGCAATCAGATGTAGGTATTCAGAAGCAAAAAATGTTTGCAATATTTAGAATTTGTCATCTGTTGTTTGTGTAGTAATGCTTTGATATAAGTTTTTTAGTATTGGAGCCAATAAATTCTGTGTTCTGTCAGTTTCTTACTTTTCAAAGTTTAAATTTCTTTTATTTCAGTAAACTAGAATATTCTAATATAATTTTTAATTGTAATAGAAATTTTGTTGATTTAATGTTGCTTCTGCAGTCAATTATTATCTGGGCTATGGTACAATATTAATTGAATTGAGATGCATGGAGCAAATTTCTTTGCATTTCTGCTACTGTATTGTTTAGATAGTTTTATTTGTATAAAATGTTTATGCAATAATATGACCTTTTAAAACTGCATTTCTTTAAAGATACATATCCATTTTTTAAACAGGGTTGCCATGGTACGTGGAAAACTCAGGGTAAAGTCAGGAAATTAGAAAATTGACCAAAAAAAGTCAGAGGAAAGTCAAGGAATTAAAATATTTTATCCTAAATCTTGAAAAGTGAGGGAATTTCATATGGCAATACCCAAAAAAATTATTTCTGCACCAACATTGAAAGCAGATCATTTTTTTGGCAAATTATATATCGCATGAGTGTCATTCAGGCAGCATGCAAATATTTTATAACAGTTTTTTTTTTTTTTTTTTAGTTTTGCATAAGCTTAATTTGAAAGTTTGCATAAACTTAATGTTGCTATCATAGCAAAGATTTGGGGATTCAGAAGTTAAGCATTTTTTTTTATCAAAATGATATATATTTGGCAAATTTCTGTGTTTTCAAAGTGATACATAATTAATTTACCCCCAGAACAGGCAATGTGCACTACATGGCAAGACTAGAATTTTCTTGAAACACACCTGGGAAATCTGGAAAAGTCAGGGAATTTCATTCTCCTGTTTCAGCAGCAACCCTGTTTAAATCTCCTTATTCCTCCTTTAGGTACTGACATATAAATTCAGAATGTGTATAATTTCTGTGACATTTAATCCCACCAGTGGCCAAATGGTTAAAACTGCTGAATACTGGTAGTTTGACCTGCCATGGTCCGAACCCAGGACAAGGACAGGGAAAAGTGGATGGAGTACCAGAAGTTCATCGGTGACTTTACAGATATTGCTGTTCCGCACTACTGCACCAACTGGATGCACAGACTAATGAGATATTTCACAGATATTCCTTACATCAGACTTAAACATTTTCACATAGATCACATGATTACACTGTATACAAAAGTTGCAATGATCTTAATAGATAGCTATATTATTTATGCATAATTACATTAAAACCTCAGATTTCAGTATAAATCGTAATATTACGTTGCGACATACAACTAGTTACAGCTAGCCATTTATGACTAATTGTTGCCATTAACAGTGGTATAATGATGCTTAAAGCATACTGGCCAGCTTCATACCATATAAGTTTTATTTGTTATGTTTGTAAGTACAGTCCATATTGTTGCGTGCGTACGGGTTCGTTATGAAATGAATGCACAAATCCGATGAAAAATGAACAAAAATTTATTATTATCACAACAAAAATGCTTAAATTTTCTCAAATTATCATGCAGTATTACAATATCTCACAGTTGTTATCTTTTAAGTACTCAAATGTCTAATAGAATGTAATTCAAAACAGCTAAAGAAAGCTAATCCACTACAGTCAACAAGAGCAATCTTCTAAACAACAACAAACTACGTAACTACTACAAACTGAGAGGTTTTCCTCCTTTTATAAGATTTTTAAATCGCGTGCGAGAATTTTCTGGTACTTTCTCGAAATCAAAAAGACATATTTATTTAATGTTAAATGCACATGCTCTTGTATTTTTAATTTTCCGGCTTAGCTTTCTTATTTTAATATTCGTCACGCACTGCACTGTGCGGGAAATAAAACCATTTAATTTATAATTGAACTAACATTAGCTTTTTTAAATACCAAATTCGTAACACTGCCCCCTTCCCAAGGACTGCACATCCCGGGCAGTACAATCCCTGGACAGGAAGCTGAACTTACAACTGTGGCATAAATGCATTAATAAGCATTACATTACAATAATAAACAACATGAACAATAAATAAAACCAGTCAAATACAAATCAAATACTAAATACAAATCAAATCAAATACATATTTAAAAATAAAAAGAACCATGGTCTTATACTATTTACAATTATTTACATTACATACTATGGCCATAGTAATGAGCTAACCTGTCATAATGAACGACTTTAGGTTTAGAGTTCGAAGACTTACGAATCCGAACCACGACGTCATTCAGTCTGTTTAGGACTGTGTATGGGCCATCCCAAGGTGACTGTAATTTCAGATAAAGTCCTTTCCGTCGAGTCGGATTCCACAACCACACCTTGTCTCCTTCGTGGAATTGATGTTCAGTAGCTCTTGTGTCGTATTGGGTCTTCTTCTTCTCCGTCGCCAAGTTGACTCGCTCTCGTGCAAAGTTGTGCATCACTTCAAACCGGGCCTGGAGATCTTGAATATATTCCTCAGACGATGAAGGAGCATCCGGAGGGCGGCCAAACAATAGATCACAAGGCAGACGAAGGTCACGACCGAAGAGAATCTGTGATGGAGAATAGCCGGTAGTCTCGTGGAAGCACTGCGGTAAGCCTGTAAAAGAGTGGTAATTTCTTGTCCCAGTCCTGTTGGTTTCTGGAAACCACTAATGAGAGGTTATTACGGATGGTTCGATTTTGACCTCTCCCAGCCCATCCGACTGGGGAGCAATGGCGTCATTTGAGTTTGTCAATGCCAAGTAGTTTGCATAGTTCTTTGATTACTGCCGAGGCAAAATCCTT